TTAAAAAATTAAAAATAGTCTAAAAAAAACCTTAAAATGTCTAAAAATAGTAACTTTATGCCAAGAATGGGACTAAATGGAATCAAATGAGACCACTTTCTCATTTTTTTCAAGTCATGGTCTCATTTTAAAATCTGATATATAGTCACTTTGCATGTTTTTTTGATAGCCAGTCCCAGCGGGATTCACGCCAAGAAATGTATGGGACCAGATCAAATGAGACCAAATGTGAAATTCATGGTCCCAGCGGCCAGTCTAAGTATAGTACTCTGTAAAAGATTGTTCAGTTTTACTGTAATAATATATCAGTTTATTTCTTACAGTAATAATAGCCTGTACTATAGTATTATCTCAGACTGAATTTCTTTTTGAGTAATTCAACTGCTTCTTAAGATAAGTAAATAAACTGTTATACACTTATCAGACTGACTATAGTATTAATATACAAGTGATTGAGACTGTCTTCATTATCTTATAAAACTGAAACAGTAAATTAATTACATATTTTAACTGAGTTCATTTCATATCAGAAAGTTTCAATATCTGAATCTTTTCTCAATTTGAGTATTATACTCAATGATTAATTATCTGATATAATTAAAGAGTCTGAATAGTTATCTTATATATTGAACTTCACTGTATTCTAACATTCTGTATCATATTCAGTGATGTGACTGATTTATTTATTTATTAAATATTATAAAATTATTATTTTTATTTAGAGAAGATATAAATTGCATTAACAATGTTTTAAATCTGTGATATTTAAATTATTAGTCAATCTATTTAAAATTAACAGTAGTATTATTAAAAAGTATTATTAAAAAACATTATCTTTTATAAAATGAATATAAAAGTTATTTGACTAATCACTTTCATCTCATTCTCATTTCAAGAATCAGTTATCTTATTATTTATTATCTCAATATTAAGATTCTTTATCAGTGTTTATATTATAAGTTGAATTATATAACTAATATAGAAGATATAATCTTGTTTATTATTTCAGAAATATAAAATCAATTTTTACTCTAAGCTCTTTATTATAGTATAGTTATTCACAGCATTATCAGTTGTAATTATAAGGAGACTGAAACTAATATCTCAATAGTTGTTTTTAATCACTGTCATTAATATCTCTGCTATATAATTCTCAGTATAACTACTGATCAATGATTCAAATTCAATTAATATCTCTTAATAAGTTCAGTTCTTATCAATGTAATAATATATAACTGTTATAAATGTAAGATTATTTATACTAGTTTATGTATTCACTCTGAGAGACACTCTTTAATAATTCTTCAACTCTGATTCTAGATGTTATATATTAGCTTTATAGTGTATCTCAAGATTGAACTGAAGACATGATTGATGTGAAATATGAAGATTTGAATTAAGTATTTGAAGAAGTGTTCAGAATTCAGAGTTTTTAATTAATTGAAGAGAAAGATTCAGAGATATATATATATAAAGTAATTATTCACAGAAGTTATCAGATAAGAGTTATGAAATCAAAGTACTAATATATGATTATTTTTATATGATTTTCTTTAAATTAGAAAGTTAGTATTATCAAAAATTATTATCTGATAGAGTAACTTATTAGCTTAGTAGTAATTTTCTGATTATTTTTCTTTTATTATTTACATTCTGATAAGTTCAGATATCAGAAAATTTTATCAGAGTTATAATCAGTTTATGATAAATATTTCTGAATAAAGTTATAGTAATTACAGTAGAGAGATAACTCTTCAGTAATCTACAATATAATCTATTAATAATTATTTTATAGTTCATCTTAATATTTGTGTTGAGTTTTTCATAAATTTCATAATCTGAAATCAGATATGAAGAATGAAGTAATTATTTATCATAATTAAAAGAGAGCATTCTATATTGAATTGATATATATAAGAAGAATTATTATAAGAGAAAATAATCTTCTTTCTTAACTTAGTTATAATTTTAGTACTAACTCAGATTGAATATTATCAATGTATAAAAGTAAATACATAATCTTGATTAATCTCTGTTATATTTCTTGAAATATATTAATATTGTGAAAGAGAGTATTATAAAATTACATTATTAGATAATATTATTAAAAATATATTAATATTATAAATATTAATATTGAAAAAATGTTGATACTTATATATTATAGTCATTTATAAATTATGATTATTAAATATATATATATATATATATTATTTCTGACATTGATTACAACTTGTACAATAATTTTTGAAAACTTAAAATTAATTTCAATTATTAATAATTATGAACTTATAATTAACTAATATAAAAAGAAAAAAACTTTTTCTAGTTATTATCTTTCTTCTCTTTCTTATTCTTTTTATTATTCTTTATAATTCATTTCTTATTCTTATTCTTTTTCTTCTTCTTCTTATCTGAAATAATAATTATTTTAAAATCTCTCTCTACTATCTTCTTAGAGAAGAGTTTCTGCTGCTTTCTCTCAGTCAGGTTAATCTGCATCTTAAAATCTCATATTTTCTAGTCTGCTATCTCAGATTTCATCTCAGTAGTAAGCAGATTAACATGCTCAGAGAGTAGAACTATCTTCTCAATATTCTGAATTATAAAGTGTATTTAAGCTCTGAATAAGACTCTAATTCTCTTCTTCTCTGTCAGCTTCTGCTAATTAATTAGAGAATAGAAGTATTATTAAAAATTATTATCTCTTAATAAATAAAAAACTTATCAGTTTTAACTTCTTTATTTCTTACTTTAACACTCTCTCAATCTTCTTCTGCTATTACTTATTTATAGTAATACTCTTCTTCTCTCTCTCTCTCTTTATCTTAATCTTAAATTATTCTCAGAACTTCTTCTGATCTTATCACTATTATATAAGACTCTTCACTGTCTTCTTTTTCAATCTCTTATAGACAGTGTTATTCATATTATTTCTATACTTACTTCAGTCTAAATCTATCAGAAGTGTTACTTAAAATTATTATTATTCTACTTTCTTACAGAGTTTCTTTAAGATATTATAATATATTTTATAATCTATCTCTTCTTACTTAAACATCTTCTTCTTCTCTCTCTTTAATCTGTGATAGTACTCACATGCCTTGATAATCTGCAGAATCACAGAATATTTCAAGAGAAATAATATAATTAGTTTCAGTGAGTATTAAAGAGAGATAAAGACAGAAGAGACAGTCAGAAATAATATAATAATAATAATAATAATAATAATGAAAGAGAGAGTGTATTGAAATATATTACTAACTTATCAAATATAGAGAGACTTAAAGAAAATATTAACATCTTTCAGAGATGTATAAAAACAGCTATAGTATTACATAGTAATATTATCTTTATTAAATACATACACTGTTAATATTCTTTGTATACAGTTATTATATAATTTATATCAGAGATACATACAGAAAACAGATCTTTATTAGTAGAATAAATAATTATAGCAATTCTCTATTTTTATATTATAAAGATAAGTTATTCTTATTTATTTCTTCTCTCTTTTCTCTTCTTCAATTAATCACTAATTTCAAGCTGATATGAAAACTATTAAAACACTCTCAGAAACTCTTAAATTAAAGAGTATAGATTAATTAAATTTTAAATACAGAAGAAATTAAATTTTCTTCTATAGATTCAATTATTCATCTCTCTTTTAAATAAAATAGTAGTTATATCTCTCTTTCTCTCTCTTCAATCAAATGAAACATGACCTGTGAAAAGTAAGTATCATATCAGATTATAATAACTAATATAATCTCAGTATACAGAACTGTATACATATAGTGTATACTAAACTCAGAGACTGTATAAGTTATAAATCAGCAGTAGTATCTCAGAGAGAGCTGTGTAGTATAAGAAAGCTGCAATTCTCAGTTATATATATAAAGAGTAAATTGCTGTAGTAAGTGTATATATATTATATAAAAGTAATACTTTTTAGTAATACTTAGTCTCTGATATTATGAAAATAGAGTCTTTCTGTGAAATTTATTTTTATTAGAAGTCAGAGAATCTTATATTTTTCAAGATTATTTTCATATATCTTATTTATGAAATTAATGAGAAAAATTATTAATTTCAGTATTCTATTCTTAATACTATTTAAGTGATAGCAGAGTTCATTCTGATTATACTTTTTAAGTGTATATTTTCTAATTATTCACATTTATACAAATATATACTAATTATTTATTAGATAGTATTAAGATAATGACTTATTACAGCTGTGTTACTCTTACTATAAAAAAATATATAATTAATAATAAATATTATAAAGACTTTAAAAAATAAGTATTTTAAAAGTACTGCAGCTCTGTAATCTTAATTTTTTTTATTTTTATTTTTTATTTTTTTATTTTTCTTTTATTTTTTTTCTTTCTCTTTCTCTTTTTTCTTTTTTATTTTAATTTTTTCTTATTTTTATTTTATTTTTTATTTATTTTATTTTTTTTTTTACATTTTATATTTTTTTTATAATTAAAATTATATAAATTATAATCTATATTTAAAAAAGTAATAATATTTAATAATACTTTCTATTGAATTTTTAATAAATGAGCACTATATTATAATATTATATAAGTAAGAAATAATTTTATAATCTCATTTAGTATCATTCTTAATAATAAGATTAGAATAAAAATATAACTAAGAATTTAAACATATTCTTTATCTAAGATTAGATTTTTATTTAAAAAATAAATCTGAAATCTTTAATATTTAAAATAACATGATTTGAGATCAATATAATAAACACAAATCATGATCAGAAGTAATGCTTTTAGACAACATAACAACTGTAAAGTTTGATCCTGGTTTCAGACACGGTCACACAGTCAGTCTAATTGAGTGGTTTCAAATTACAAGAAAAGATGTATTGAGCGAGGTCAGGTAGTGGCACGGGCCACATTTGCGAGGTCAGCTTACATAACGAGGTCAAGTGGCGCACTTAGCGAGGTCAAGTTTTCTGCTTCCTGACAAGCTAGCAACCTTTTCAATCAAGCAAGCTTTACGCCTTCCACAGCTCTTTCATTGATGCTGTCTTGTCCACATTGGTCCGTCATGGTTTCGTTCTTCACAGACATCGGCACCAGGTTAATCTCATATTTTTTTCATTAAAACCACCGAGCACCATCTCTTCTGATAAACATGGCTCCGCGTCAAGGCAGACAAAACAAAGCACAGCGGCGACAGCGATCTGTGTTAGAAATTCAGGGTGATGGTGGGTTGTTCGCCTTCAATCATTTTGCTCTTACTGACCATTGTTAGTGGGTGGACCTTGAGGCATTCAGAAAGCACTCCCGAGCGCTTATTGAAGAAGGGCCCAACCCTACAAGCAGGAGATCAAATGAAACAGCCAACTTTCACCTTCAACAAGTTGCCTTTCTAGAGATACTGTATGAAACTCGCCGCCACCAAGGAGCTGGCAAAGAAACTACCCCCAACGGCTGAGAAATCCCAAATCAATGGTCATCGAAAGCGAGTGTTTAAAGCAGATGAACCTTCCATGCATTCAGTCAGACATCCTGAAAAACAGCGGCGAATTATCAGCTCTGGTGGAGATGTGGTAGGTGGTGTCAGGCAATCAAAGAACACTGATTCCCTTCTGGCTGCTCAAGTTTTCAATGTATGTTTTCTGTTGCTTGGATTATACACAAGAGCTAATCCCTCTCAGCCTCTTCATCTACCAACTCTTCAACAGCCTTCATCTAAACCTAAATGAGAGCACCCGGAACATGAACATTCACCTGATAATTTCTATCACATTTTCAAATGGTGATGAACTGAAAGCACTGAGATCAGCCTCATCAGTTACTGAGTTCAGAAAGGATATTGGCTGTTTGTTCGGGAAACAACAAATGCCTCTATACCTCGAGTTTATGCTCTCTACTCGAACCACAGACGGGCAAAAATTAGTTGGAGAGACACTCGCAACACTATGGCCGAGTTTGATGTCTTCAGAAAAGGAATCTATTGTCGCGAGGCTACAGAGTCACTACAAGGAATTACGGCAGCTGCCGTCGCCAGGTTACTATGGTAGCATAGACAAACAATGCCTTGGCGCGGAAATACACTCATGACGGCCGGCATTTTTACCAGCAATGTCTTCCATGCATCTTCTGTGGCTGCCAATGCAAAAATATTATGATTTGAAGAGATCCCCGGAGGACGCAGACTGCTGATAATTGCTCTTTGAAAGTTGTTATTCTTGACTAGGAGAAGTCCGGTTGGTATCCAAGTTACTGGGAATACTGTCTAGCTGTCTGCGCATTACGATGGGACCCTGGATTGAAAAAATACTAGATTATGGTCCTAGGAATATACCGTGTTGATTAATGACTCAGTGTATCTTAATGTTGTTTACTTCAAGGTCGGCTTGGAAAAGCTTCTGTTTAGACATCATAATCTCTTCTTCAAACCATCAAGGGCAAGCACTGCTGACTGAAAATCTGTGTGTTGTAATGCAGCTTTTGATAAGTCATTCAAGAACAACACCCAGCTCTTCAGCACAGTAATGACGAATTGTATTTGTTGTCCAGAAAAAATAAGATGGCCTTTCAAACAGAAAAATAGAAGCGCTGCACCTGAATGATGTATCTTATTAGCCATGAACATAAAATACCATCTATGAAATATCTTGAGTGTCACTCACTTTAGTCCTTTCCCTCTAGGAATGGCCATTCTCTTTGGCGCTATCTTCAAGGGCGTTGAATACCTTGTGGACTATGGAGTCCTTCAGGGGGTCATCGATGTCAACCCAAGCCTCCGCAAGGTTCTGGTGACTATCTTTATTGGCCATCTGACAGAGCGTGGGATTGTCGGCGTTCTTGTTCGGCTAGATGTAGATCTTGATATGATTGCCGACTTGGACGCCTCTGTCAACGCGGGCACCAACCTTGGTGTCATGGTTGGAAGGGGGCATGATTCAGTGTCCAGCGGATGAGTTATCTCCCACGGAAGGACGAAGTATTTTCAGTCTTGAGAAGGATAATTTCAGAGCTCTCTGGCGAAGGGCGCCCAGAGCATCAAGAACAGCGCCCATGTCTTCACCAAAGTTAGCTGTTTTCAGTACAACAGGGCACTGATGAGCACTCACTGGATGCACAATGGATAAAAAATGAATACAATTGATCGGGTTGTAAATGAGTGGGTTTTGTCCTTCCCAAGTCAAGCAAGAGCGGGAGGCACAATTTATAGAAGCATCGCAAGAACACAAAGAACGGGAATGGAGGGATGGCTTTCCAAAGTGATTCATGCAGCTCTGCGACATTCGCTCCCCTGAGCCTTGCCATCTGCCTGGAAGAGCACACCAGTAAGGACCGTCAAGGGCACTAGACTGTCAATTAGTCTTGAATGAGGACATTGAAGCGCTGCCCAGACATCCTATCATTTAAACCCGATGGCTATAAATAAATACACCATGAGGCACAAAAATGCGGGGTCCATGGCGCCAAGAAACTGACAACAAAACAGGGCATGCAGGGACAGGCGGAGAGAAAATAAAAAAGGCTAGAGTGAAGTGCATGTGCGCACGGAGTGATGTTGGTCATTGGAGTGTCAGCTTTCAGAAAATCATTCATACTTGAACTTCACGTGACAACCACACTGAAAGTGACGCATACCGAGAAACAAATCTCATGCTGTCAAGAAGCAGTGTCACCATGAGAATGCTTCACAGCATATTTGCATCTTTCAAAGAGCCTGTCCGTATGCACAAAGGCAAAAGCGCAGTCTTGAACATCTGTGGAAGCTCTCACAGCCAAGCTAGCCTTAACAGAGCTATCCATGAGCCCTTGTTCCGCTACACATCTGGCCGCTGGCTATATGATGAGGATCTCCAGCTCAAACATCGATATGTCAAGTTCAATGTCGACAGCCTTCTGGAGTGTGCTAGCCAAGTAGTTGGTGCTCGATGCTGTCAGTTAACCAAGTTGCCTGAAGAACTCTACAACAAGGTCTTCTCCTTGGAAACTGAGGACGGCAAGGAGATTCTTGCTAGAATCCCAAATCCCAATGCAGGCTCTTCCTGTTACATTGTTGCTAGCGAAGTTGCTACTCTTGACTTTGTGCATTGTACATTTCTTTTTCTTTGTCTTTTTGCCCTTTGCTTTGTCTTTCTATCTGCTAATATGCTCTTATTAACAATATGCAGCTCTGTAATGTTCTTGACATTTCAGTACCTGAAGTTGTTGATTGGAGCTCAAGCTCATCTCTGTCGCATCCCAACCCTGTGGGTGCCGAGTATATCTTAATGAAGAGAATAAAAGGCCTTCAGCTCAGTGAGGTTTGGCCCACCATGTCTGAAGCTCAACGCTTCAGGCTGGTGAAGAATGTGGTGGCAATTGAGGCTAAACTGGCCGGCATTGATCTTCTAAGCTATGGTAGTCTCTACTATAGAGATATATACCCTGATGGCTTGCCCATTGCAGAAATCACATCTTCCTCACATGAACTCACAGTATATATTATTGAAAAGTTTGTTTTCAGCCCGTCGACGGACAGGATGTTCTGGGTAGATGAAAAGAGAGAACTAGAGCTGGATCAGGGTCCATGTATGTCTATCTGCACTTATGACCTTGCTTCTGCTTGGCGGATAAACTAACCTATACTGTGAATTCTAGGGTTGACAGCAACAGAGTACATTTCTGCCATAGCGAAGTGTGAGATTATTTGTATTCAAAATCTCAACCCAGATGAATCTGGATTTAACCCTCTGAACCCTGGAAGGGCCCTGGTGTGTGAAAGCCATATTGAACTTCTTGAACAATTTCTCACAGTTCTTCCCCACATTCTGCTGCGCATGGAGATTTGCTGTCCTGTCTTGTTGCACCATGATCTTCATACAGATAATATTTTTGTTGATGACGCTGATCCGACCAAAATATCAGGGATAATTGACTGGCAGGGGGTCACTGCTGGCCCACTCTTCATGCAGGCCAGATTTCCATCTGTATTTGACTGTGAGGACTCATATCCATGGGGTGCAGTTCAACCTGAGCTTCACAACAATTTTGATTCTTTGTCTGAACAAGAAAAGGCACAGATCATGGAACAACATGATAGGGTCAGACTAAAGAAATTTTATGAGCTGGCGTCGCGCAAGTTCAACCCGGATATCACCAAGGCCATGGATGCGATGAGGAATGATGATGATCCGACCTCCTTTGTCTTTTTTCTTCTGGGGCAGACCTCTGTGGATGGACCAATACCTCTTCGAGAATTGCTTATCCAGATATATGAGAAGTGGGACTGGATTTCTGTGAAACGGGGTCTGACAATGTCCTGCCTGATCAACTTTACCGAAGAAGAAATATCAACACATTGGAAAGCATCTCAAGAATGGGCAGAGGTGTTTAATGAATTTAATTGCCTTTTGATGGAGATGGGAGGGAAGGATGGACCGGTATCACACGATGAGTTTGAAGAAGCCACACACAGGTTTAATGAGCACAAGGAAGTCCTAGAGGGACTTCAGAAGCACCTTAGCGAAATCATATAGTGTGTTTAACAGGAAAGATGGAGGCATCCTGTATACATGAATACCACACTCTTTCTAACTTCATCTTACTCCATGTAGCCAACCAGATCACATGTAGTATGCAAGGGGATGCTGATCCAACTTGCAGCATTTTGTGGTTTTGTTGGGGGAAGTATCATTCAACAACAAGCTCGAAATAAGCGCCCTGGGGCTTACTCTCTCCCAGTATGAGGTTCACAAAATGTACCCTAGCTTCATCTCGATTACTGTCTCCATAGCTGCGTAAGGCGGCTGGGCCGGACGTTAAATCGAGTACCATTACTATTACCTCTTTTGTCTCAGCACCATTTTTGTCCCAGGACCTCTTTTGTCAATCTGTCTAAGCTGTCTACAAAGGGAAATCCTGGAAGTTCCAATAACAGAAGATACACTGAGTCATTAATCAGCACAGTATATTCCTAGGACCACAATCTTGCATATTCCCATAGAAGGAGCGCCAGGGTAAATGAAGCAACCAAGCAACCACTGATCTGTATCGTCGGCCCTTACGGTACCGTCAACTACGCCCAGGATGTCTTGGTGCCCGAACTGCTGGTGATGCTAGTCCAGGATGACATGGGAGTTGACGCCAAAGAGGCCCGCCGGATCCTGAAGGAGAGCAATGAGATCAGGGATTTGATTAATTGCGGGTAACATTAACCCTAGTCATAGTTAGTAACGTTATTATTTGAAATATTAGGAGCTTTAGCCTAGGCTCAACCACACTCTGGACCTCCGCCTTCGATGTATCGGCAAAGGAACCAACTATAGCTCCAAGTGCTCTAATAGCCTCCTTGATTTTGGTGAGTTCATTTGTACTCTTTGCTCGGTCCGCACTGCGAACTCCATGATTTCAAAACTTAGAGAATTCATCAATGCTCTTGGATTCTCAGACCGGTGCTCAGGGCATGAATTTCGGTAGGAACTGATGTTGGGGGATCAGACGGAGATAGAAACCTAGTGGTATTAAAAGTGGGCTGAATTGTGTTCAGTTGTAGGCTACTGGGGCAAAGGAGCTCAGTCACCACCAGTGCACTGCTGGTAGAAGGGCCGATCAACCCGGGACCCCCAACATTTCAGGAAGCAGAAAACTTGACCTCGCTAAGTGCGCCACCTGACCTCGTTATGTAAGCTGACCTCGCAAATGTGGCCCGTGCCACTGCCTGACCTCGCTCAATACATCTTTTCTTGTAATTTGAAACCACTTAATTATTTATGATCAATTCTATAATCAATTCAAAATCAATTTAAAATCAATTTAATACTGAAATTATTTTTGAATTTAATAATAAAGTAAGTATTTATATAATTTATACTGAATTGATTATCAACTGATTTTTAATCAATTATTAATTACTTAAATATATAGATTGAATCTATTTTTATTATTATAATTAATTAACAATTAATTCAGAATCAATTCAAAATTAATTCAAAATCAATTTAATACTGAAATTATTCTTGAATTTAATAATAAAGTAGGTATTTATATAATTTACACTGAATTAATTATTAACTGATTTTTAATTAATAATCAATTATTAAATATTTTTATCTTAATATATTTTAAAATTCTGTAAAACATCTTTTTATATTCTATATAAATTTATCTATTTATTTAATTAATTATAAATCAGCTATATATAGACTGATTATATAACTGTGTCTGAGATCAGAATCAGATTTTTTAATAATCTTATTATTAATTTAACTGATCTCATTACACAGTTTTAATATTAAATAGTAGTTTTATACTGTTTCAGTGAGACTTACTATCTACTTTTATCACATTTTTTAAATAAGATTATAATTTTCACTTCTTAATTTAAATTATTTTTATTGCTTTAAATGACTTTAAATCTTATTTAAGTGTTATCAAAAGTGTTACTTTTTAAAAAATTAAAAATAGTCTAAAAAAAACCTTAAAATGTCTAAAAATAGTAACTTTATGTCAATAATAAGACTAAATGAAATTAAATGAAATCACTTTCTTATTTTTTTCAAGTTATGATTTCATTTTAAGATCTGATATATAGTTACTTTGCATGTTTTTTTAATAACTAGTCTTAGCAGAATTCATGTTAATAAATGTATAAGATCAGATTAAATAAGATTAAATATAAAATTCATAGTTCTGACAGTCAGTCTAACTATACATACTTTAATTAATTAATAAACTAAGTGAATAAGAATGAGTGAATTGAAAGATTAAGTGAATTAAAAGATTGAAAGTTAATTATTAACTGACTATTACTGTATTATATATTGAAGATTCTTTACTAGCTCTCACTTATATAACTTATATATATATTAGTTACTATTAATACTAGAATAATTAATTAAGTTCAATCTCTTCTACAGATTATAAAGCTCTTATACTTTTATAAAGTGTTATAATTATGTAATAATTATATAATAAGCTTTTCAAATAGCTGCTTCTTTTATTTAAATATCTCATATTAAATATCTATCAATACAAGATCAATTAATTATGAAGAAACTTCAGAGAATTAAACTACTATATTTAAATTCTTTTCAATCTTAATAACTGTGAAAAAATCATTACATAATAATAATAATTAAGATAATAATAATATAGCTGATGAAGCTGCTGTCTTAAAATAATGTATTACTCAGATAAATAAAGAATTATATTAAATAAGAGGTTCTAGTAATTCTACTATTATAGCTACTATTAAACTGACTGTATAACTGTATCTGAGATCAGAATCAGATTTTTTAATAGTCTTATTATCAATTTAACTGATCTCATTACACAGTTTTAACATTAAATAGTAGTCTTATATAATTTCAGTGATGTGGTTCGGAAGAATGTATGACTGTCGGATAATACCGCGGCCGCTTCCGAACTACTAGCGTACGCGTATGAGTGTAAAGAGGCCATAGCATACACTAATTAATTTAGTGTACAAGATTACAATATAAGAAGTCAGTGTATGCCTGTAATTGTATGCTGGGTTAAGCAACCTTTGAATCATATCTGATAGCATGTCTAAAAACCAGTGAGAAGCACAGGCTTCTTCAGGGTGTGATAATTTCATCTACAAAGCAATTTGTAGTTATCATGTCAGAGTGATTCTAGAAATGCCTCAAAAGATAGTGTACAAAGAGCAGTGAGTGAAAGAACATTCAATTGATGCTGCTTCACTTGTTGAGAGAAAACTTCACACTCAGGTGAATACCATGTATGTGAACAAATGAGATGTGAGAAAGAGGATAAGAGTGATGAACCAGATTCAAAGAAGTTCACTCCCTACTCAAATGAAGAATAAAAAGAGAGAGGTGGCCATCACTGAAGTCATACAATGATAACAGAAATCATATAATAATACAGTGATATAATAATAGACATCATACAATCAATGAGAAATCACTGAAATGAATATCTTCTCTAGTCAATATAAACAACACTCTTCTCTGCTATCTGAATCAGAAGATATGCAGAACCTTTCAGAGAAATTACTTAAAGCAGTAAGAAAAGCAGCTGAGATCACTGAACTGAAATCAAAGCTCTGTACATGTATGAGAATTCTAAACAAGATCAAGGTCTTGCATACACAGTGGCAGACTGAGGCAAAAGTCAAACAATAATTGGCATTCACTGCAGATTAAGCATTCACTATGAAGAGCTTCATTAATGCAATCATCATCATCAATAAGAATAGAGAAAACCAGATCTTAGGCCTGCAGCAGAAGATTGAATGTTTACACAGATAGATGACTATACTGAACCTGAAGATCTCATTATGATTGTTCATGACCTCTTCAGAAGTATATACATTATCAGAGACTGCTGTGCAAAATGAGAATCTGAGCATGAGATACATCAAGTCAGAAGATCTGCTGAAGTTATTAAGCTTTAATAATGACTGAAAAAATGATGCTGCAATCAGCTGGCTAAGTCAGATGCAATTATATTATCAGATTAAATATGAACTCACAGACAGACAGTCAATGAAATTTTAACAAGTCTTAAAATCTGTCACATTTCTACATGAAAAAGTGAAGTTATTATGAATGACTGATAAAAAGATGAATCTCACAGACTCAGAGTGATATTCATTCTCATGAATATGAAATGAGTTTTTCAAATGAATCTTACACAACTTTGAGAAAGTGAATGTATGAGATAAGTGTTATAAATACTTCACTGAGTGTAGATAAGTGAGTGATCTTACATTGTACTTCACACACTTCAGCTTACACTATCTTACATTGAATGAAGAGCTTTCAACATCTTTCTATTTACAGATCTTCATTCATAGTCTTACATCTGAGTTGAGAGTGAAATGAAAATGCTTAATCTCACAGTCAGACACAGTGAAGAAAGCATACAATATTCTTATTATACAGAAATAAGTGAGTTAATTATAACAGAAAATACTGCAATTGAGTATGTCTCAGTGAAGAATGAGTAATCAGACTTCTATGATACAAGTCACACACTTAGATGCAATGAATCTAGATCTGAATACTATCACTAAAGTACTGAATTCTCTGAAAAAGGAATTCTCTGAGTGAAAATCTTGATATTATAAGCATTAAGCTTGCTTCAACTGCAGATACTAAAATTATGATGCAAAAGATTGCACTCAGTGTGCACAGTTAAGAGAAGCAAGAAAGTCAAAAAACTAGCAGAATCAGTAAGCTCAGAGACACTTGCTGATATTCTATGAAAAGTCTTTAAAGTGAAAGAGATGCTCATGTTAGATGACTCTCTGAATTCTGTGAATGCAAAGAAGAAGCAGGCTTCTGAATAAGATACAGATGAGAATGATGAAGTGAACACTCATCTCAATGTCTTGAGACCTGAAATGTTAATGTATAAGAAGTACTTGAATAAGAATTGAGAGATGACTGCAAAAGTGTTAGTGAATATAGAAGCTTCAATACAATATATTAATAATCATATAATCTGAAGATTGAAAGAGATCTGCTGAGTGAAGAATCTCTGATGTATAAGATTATCTGATAACTGATATTTGATATCACCTGCAAAAGTAAGAGTTCTCTTGCACTTCAGAGAATGATCTTGCTATATTTGAGTGTGAGAGCTGCAGAATATGAAATATAATCTTATTCTCAGACTTGATTGATTTCAAAGATTCAATCTGTAGATTCAATGATGTACATATCATATGCAGTTAACTGATAGAAAGAAAATGATTCATATGATTCTATCAACTGATATAAGAAGAACATTTCACACCTCTGATATAGAAGAGTTAAATCTGCTTACACATTAACAAGCAAAGAGAACAATTCACAAGACCTCATCTGAAAGCATTCTGTATGTCATACAGAACCTGGAAGTGAAGGAAATCAAGATAAAGAATATGCAGAAAAACAAGTGTATGAAGAAGCTTCTGAAGAAGCATGGAAAGATCTTCTGAACAAATCTTTCATCAGAATTGTCACTGAAACAAGGATTCATACATGAGATTGACACAGAGAATGCAAAACCAGTCAATCAGAATGTGTACCCTCTGTCACAAACACATCTTGAAGAACAGAAATGTCAGATTACAGACCTTCTAGAATGTGATCTCATATAACTCTCATCAAGTGTGTGAGGCTTTTCAGTTCTATTTGTGAAAAAGACAGATGAAGAGTGATG